TTGGCCTAAGCTCTAAACCTAGTCTAGTTTATAATCTCTCGGCACGGAACACAAAGAAAACACGGTTCCTCTGTTGCTGTACCATCGTTGTGTTCGTGTCTGTTACTACGGTAACGTGTTTACCGAGCCGTTGTCTAGCAACGGCTCTGGTATATCTGCCTATATTGCGGTCGTTACATAGCAACTGGTCTACACGCTACAATATTATCATTTTAAAGCAACTTTAAAGCCTTTCCTCTTGAGGTACGCCTTCTGAAAATGACCCAAATGGGAGGACAGTTATAATGGCAGTAACAGAAATTCTCATGTACATATATATTACTTTTACTAAAATTATTATTTCCATTAACTGCTCATTATGCTGTGTAACATGAGACAAGCATGATACCGGTCCACGGAAAGCATACTACTCTTAGTTGAACTGCGTAGAATGTATGTAGCCATTTTGTTACTTCGTAATTCAGTTTCGCAGACATTTTGAGCATATCATTTCTTCTTGTGTCCTTCTTTCATTCATGAACCAATGTAATAATGAGCGGCTTTCCTGGAATGGCATTTCATAATGTTAAGTTAAATGGCTTAGACGCTAGTTCCATATATTTCCTTTACAGATGTATAAACATATATTTATACGACCTCTGAACTTTGTCCTGACATCTGTGTAAATTCTCACGGAAAATGGCCTTGTGATACTTAATACTAGCCAAGAACTTTACTATGACATTTAACATCTATACCGTCATTAACGAACTGATTCTAACTTCATGTTACTCTGCTCTTGGTGTGCATATCCCAGTTATAGTAAGCCTAAGATACTGATCTAAAATTTAAAACAGTGAATTATGACAACCAAGATATATAATCACAGCGTATATATTAATAACTAAGGCCTAGGCTTAGATGGGAGGATAATATTAAAAAGTATCTTAGAGAGGTAGGATTTAGTGGTAAGGACTGGACTGGTCTGGCTCTTGTGAACATGGTAATGAAACTTCGAGTTCCATAAAATACTGGAAGTTTTTCAATAACTGAGAGACTGGCTGTTTCTCAAGAAAGGCTCATCTCCATGAAGTTATGAAGTAGATCTTCACACTAGATAATACGACTAGTGATAGAAATTTCTTATGAAGTGTTCCTTTTACGAAACAAATGTCTTCATTCTGTTTGTGTCTCCGTTTAACATCTAATTTCAAAGGTACAAAAGCCAAATGCAATTTACTAGTATGCTTACATAATCCAATATATGTATATTTGCCCAGGAGGTCTTCATGCGTAAACGCTAAAAAGGTCACTGTTTGCTCGACAGATCAAATTTTAGTAATCAAACAACAATTTACTGCCACCCTCTGTGCCTTTATTATTTCGATGTTTCTTTTGTGTTGTCATTTGCAGGTTAATATTATAACTCAACTCTACTGAGTCTCTATATTGTAGATAGCTGGGTAACGTTTTTATTTGATGTAGGAAAATTTAAAAAGCTCTCGATAAAGAAGGCGAGTGGTGATGACAATTGCTCATTCTGGAACATGGATATAATGCTAGAAAATAATGAACTTCACTGGGACAAGAAACTTTTCGCACGCAAATAACGCCACAATTATAAATAACAAAAAAAAATTGTTCAGCAGGAATAAATTTCATATTAATAAGATCGCCATAAAAATAATAAATCAGGTTATTTTGACACATTTCATTTTAGGAATATTCAAGCTGAATAATGATACATATTTACAAACAGAAATTCATAACGTAATTGATTTAATAAATGAGGAAAATTTATGTTTAATTTACAGTGGTCTTTATGCTAAATTAAATGTATAAAACGATAACAGAGCACAATGTTTTAATGAAAAATATACAAAAGAAACGGAGGAATTTGGTGGCTGTTTTTTCAAGCTACAAGTTTAACCTTCCGAAAATAAGTTTGATAAAGTTTAAACCTGAGGCATAAAATTATTCTTAAACGTCGGTAATGTTTCGACAAAATGATGTACATAGAAGAATCTACAAAAATAAACCTTTGTGCCTCTCAGGATCAGGAAGCTGACCATCCGGTATCCTAGCAGTTCCTGATCACTTTATTGACTGACCTGCTTTGGAAAATCTATTGTTGTTACCGTGTTTTTACCTGGTATTTTTGAACCATGTATCCAACTTGACTGCAAGATTCGAGACCTTAATATTAATTTCGTAATGGTTCTAAACTGAAATGCCGCATTGGAATTTTATAATAATTCTGTTTCGATATTGGATATCGGTTCTGTTTCATAGGTACCAGTAATCAGCCAATCAGTTTCCATATAACTACACACAGGACTAATTGTTCCTCCCACACTCGTGCGATGATACGACAAAAAGATTAAACCCTTTAGCAACACATCACTGGCTCTCCATTAGTGATTTAAAATATATTTTACAGAAACACCTCGAGATGAGTAATAATATTAAAGGTCACTACGGCATCACTTGCTCTTCCTCCGGCTGCTTTTATCCTGTTATTCTAAGGCTCTCAGTGAATGGGTTTGAAACTTCCGTATTTACATATATATCACTGGACATAAAAAATATGGCGGTTAACTGAATTCCTTAATCCATAAGTCGTGACTACCCTCTAATGCAGGCTTACTGTCACCATTAATATGTGGTCCAACATCTGCTGCTGTTCCCTAGACAATACTCCGTGGGCAATGCTCTCTACTTCACTGTTTTCCTTCGCGCCACAAGTCAAGGCAGATAGAGCACGAAGCCTGGACTGTACAGAAAAGCAGTGTGTGCCAGATGAGTCTGATTCTTTGACATGAGGCCTGAAAGCCGGAATAATCCATTGCCAGACACGGAATTACCCATTCGCGAGGAAACAGTTCTTGCACGTTTCTGAGAAAAACAGTAGTGGAACCTTTGGAGACGGTGACTTCTATTCTGTCCTCCCGAAGTTATAAAAGAGAGTTTATTCGTGAATTTGAGGGATTACGAATGTAAGAGAACTCGGAATGCAGTTCAATAGGAGTGCTAACCAGCGGATAGCGGTAGCTGAAGAACTGACCGATTCACAAATCAGAAGCAGGCCGCGCCATAGCTCAAGCGGTTAGTCGCTGGCTTCCCACCGCGGCGGTCCGGGTTCGATCCCGAGTTTGGTCAAGTGAGATTTGTGGTGGAAAAAGTGGCGCTGGGGAAGGTTTTCTCCGAGTACTTCGGTTTCCCCTGCCAATCTTCATTCTACCAATTGTTCCACAATCACCCTCACCTATCATCTGGGGCTGGTACATACAATATGCCAGAAGTGGCCGCAGTACAAGGGACTTAGTCCCACCCCACTAGCAATAAAAAGAAAGTCAGAAGCAAGTCGGTCATGCAGAAGGAAAGACACTCATAGTCCAGTAAGGAACAGAGCGAGTCGTAGAGTCATTCACTGGAAGTTGTCGTAATTGATTACTCTCCGTTTTACTTCGGTTTACTAGATCTAGGACATTCAGTAGGACTCTTTGGACGGGTGATCAGCTCGCCGCAAGACCTTTACCTGTACACAAACACAGAAAAATATACACACACAAACATCAAACATCTATGCCCTGGGTGGGATTCGAACCCAAGATCCTGGCTTCAAAAAGAGTGAAGACAGTGCATGTCTTAGACCCCTCGGCTACCGCGACCGGCCGCAAAGAAAGATATTGAATTACAATATTTGTAAATACAAACAGAATATAACACTAGCCTTTAATTTTGGAAATGTCTCTCAGTGTATGAGTAATTAATTAAATAAAGATTCTATATACAGAATCCCTCTCATGTTTTAAGTTCATTTGATGGTCATGCAGGCCTATTCATGTCAATTACCTGAAACAATGGACAGTATTCGACTTTATGGGAAAATAGCTGAATAAATTATATTTTAAAATCTTTACAGATGTAAGTTCCTTCACCAGTAGTTAGAATCCAGCCTAATAATCTACGAAGTATTTGAAAGTTAAAAATATTTGTAATCAGTGTTTATATAATACAAGTTCTTTCGCAAGAAAATTACACTGCAACAAGTTGCATAAGTCCAAGAAGAGTAATATATGTCCGAGTTTGAAATAGCATAGCCTGTACCTGAATAGATTTTGACTTCATGATGAAGGTCCAGGCACAGAAAAAGCTCAGGGTATATCTGGAACAATGTGTTTAAAGTACACCATCGTGAAAGGAGACACTGAAAAGCGCATTCGGATTTTGCTGCAACCGATTTCAAAGCATCAGTTTTGTAATCAGTTCGCTCCTCAATTTCCTTATGATTGTGGACGTAGAGGCAATGGAAAGACTAAAGGTAGGCGTTCACTAGATCGCATCGTACGCATTGGACGGATCGGATCTGATGCTAAGTTACATGTAAGTAATTAAATCAAGTTCGCTATCGTTCACTTCATTGTATGGCACGCATCGCATTGCGGCAAATCCTATTGGGATGGTCGAGAGGGCAAGGAATCCGACTTGCGCGACTCGAGAGCAAGAGTCAGCGGTAATTCCGTTGCAGTGGACGAGGTCTCTCGCATCTGCCCATTGTGTGGCAACTCTTGAAACACTGTACAGGGCGCATCATCCTCCAGCAGATCCGGAAATAGGGTGCTGAACTCCCCGAATACTGATCTTTTCCTGTTGATACTGTGAACACAATAACGCTTTCTTCGTCTTTTCTTTTCTTGTCTTCTTCTGCTATTAGGATGCAAGTAACTACCGCAGCTTCTGTCTCGCACAAGTACACCCGTACTGCGAACGCTTCTGAGACTGGCACGGGCCGACGCGTCGGCTTGGCGATGCGAGTGAGTGAACGCACTCTACTTTTCCTACGATAGCTCATATCCCTCCGATGCGTACGATACGATCTAGTGAATGCCTACCTTAACAGAAAATACTGTGAATCTTTTCAGCCCTTAAATATGCACCATCTCTTTGAACAGTTCCAAATAATTTGAAATGTTTTTGTGACGAATTTTATAGATGCCGTATCTTCCTGCGTGTTGCAGGCCATTCACCAGCCGCGATGGACCCTTCTGTACTATCAGGCGCCCTTTTGTGGCTCCTCCTTCTGGCAGTGTCTCCCAGTTCACAAGGAGACCCTATATCTGACCCAGCTAGAGCCTCTCCAGGATCAGGGCCCAGTGGTGAGACCTTAAGTAGGGCGCAGGACGTCCCGATACAAGCTCATGAACCGGAAGAGGACAAACGCGGCTGGAGAGATCTTCAAGGAGGGTGGGGGAAACGGGGCTGGCAAGATCTTCAAGGCGGCTGGGGAAAACGTGGTTGGCAAGACCTTCAAGGTGGATGGGGAAAGCGAGGCTGGCAAGATCTTCAGGGAGGATGGGGCAAACGAGGATGGCAGGATCTCCAAGGAGGATGGGGGAAAAGGGGCTGGCAAGACTTGCAAGGAGGTTGGGGCAAACGAGGATGGCAAGATCTCCAGGGCGGCTGGGGCAAACGGGGCTGGCAAGATCTTCAGGTAAGCGTCTGGTACAGTATGAACATGTGATTCAGCTGGATATATAAAGTTCAGTTTGTATTCATATTAGTCATAGTGTGACGTATTGCGCTATGGAGGACATACCCTCCCCCCGCCAGCGGTGACGTAACAACATCGGGCACTGTCGCTTCTTTACGATTTCACTTACTGATCAATCCGAAGTGCACGAACGGCGAGTCAAGAAAGTTTCAATGACTGTGAAAACAGTTTCGACACGACCGTACATAAATCAATAAGCATTTGCTTGTATTTCATACGTTCCTGAAAAATATATAGTTCAGTGCTTTTTTCATAGCTACCGTCAAACGGGATGGATTTCAAATTATTAGATACTTTGACGGTCCTCCTAATTGGCTGTACTGTTCTCTTAATAATTTTGACCTCTTTTACAACAGAAGTTGGCCTCCTCTGTGGTCTAGTGGTCAGTTCCTGGCTACAGATCCAGAGGTCTGCGTTCGATTCCTGATGCCACAAGTTTTTCTGAGAAGTAGTGGTTCTGGAACGCAGTTCACTAAGCCTCGTGAGGAATATCGAGGAACTACTCATAAGGGAAAGTTGCTACTCCGGTCTAGAAAACGGATATTAAGGGCCGTGGGGATTCGTTGCGCTGACCACGCCACACCCTCTATCCTCAAAAGTTGCCACTAACTTCGCCGACAAGCTGCGATCTCTCGGTCGGTATAGTTCGCTTGCGGACTAAAACCACGGATTTTGTTTTTTTGTTCACAATAGAAGTTTATTCTTCTTATTCTTTGCAATTTGCCTCCAACTTTTCAGTTTACGCAAATAATTTTATGTACCTTTCATCGTTCTCAGTGAGATTTGTCCATTTTCTTTCTGCTTTAAAGCACAATTTATTATTATTATTTTTTATAGATAATCCCGATGATTCTTCAGTCCGCTTTCGCGTTGTTCATAAAGCGTCCATTCGAAAGTTCGTCATAACTGCTGGCAAATTAGCGGAAGATATTACAACTGAGAAACTCCGTCCGCCTTCTTTAAACTTTCTGGATTTTTTGGTCACTTTCCATCATCCGGAATTCTAGGTAATAGAAGACACGCCGATTCGGAAACTGCATCTGTTTCCATCTTCAGGTGCAAAAGGAAGCACCTCCTCGTTAGGCCCGAGTGATTGAGATTAACTCTTTTTAAGGGGCCCAACTGAGTAGGTGTCTTCCTTTCTCGCCTGAAGACGGAAACAGATTCAGTTTCCGAAACGTCGTGTCTTCTATTACCTAGAATTCCGGACGATGGAAAGAGTCCAAAAACCCAGTAATTGTGTCATCCACCATCGTCAGAACCCTTCAGAATCTTCTTTAAACTTGTTACTAATAAAGTGAGAAATGTCATTGAGCTCTGTAATATAATCAGACTTTGAGAGCGCCAGAAATGCTGAATGAACCTAACCACGTGAGCACTCAACGATCCAATGAGATAGTGAGGATTTAAATATGTGTACGCTTGCAGAACAAAAACAGTTATTAGTAGTTATTAGTGACGCTTTTTCTCAGTTCCCCAAAATGAAAACTGAGAGTATATCGTCACATAAAATTTAATCCCTTGCTTCCCAATCCTTGCAAACTCACCGAATTCGACCATCCTCTCATATCATTCAACGATACACAAAATTACTTCTGTAAGTGATATAGCGTCCGTAAATTACCTGCGGTCCATGAATACGTGAAGCTGGTTGTTACAAATTTGCGTCATTCACATACTTCCATAAATTTGCATAAAATTTCTGAGTTCTGCAGACTGAAACAAAGTAGTCAATATTCGCCTCATGCAGTGAATTGATGAAAGCAAGCGAATGTCAATTCATGCGTTCTATATCGACCTATTAATTACTTTAAACAAAACCGCGGGAACAGATATAACCAAATATCGATAGAACTGAAAAGCTTCTCCATATTCCTACATGTATATCACTGCATTATGGATCTATTCATTACTGGATCTGTTTATAATCAGCTGATATAAATACACTTCACTTCGTAATCCGTGTTCAGAGCTGTTTATCCTTCTCCTATGAACTGTTCCAAACCGGTTATGTATTGCGGGCTCTTGATGGATAAATCATCAGCGATGAAAAGGTCCAACAACTAGACGAATTACATTTTAGTAGATACAAGGTTTTGCACTATACTGCGTGAATAAATTAGTTGCAATGAAGTTATAAGCTTCACACAGACGAATTAATCGCTGCAGGAATTGTACATCCGAATAAAATAGCTCACTATAGGTATGAATTTATGTAGTCGTTCAAAAACGACGAATTTTTTACTTTGTTTATGATTTCCATCTGACTGTTGTCGATTACTGACTGAAGCATGTAGTAGAATTGTGTTTTATGAAGTAACGTCTCTGTTAAAGCTCGGTGTGATCACGTGTAAGATTTGAAAACGTGACGAAACATTATAACACCTTCTCCCACATTTCCGAATGCAGGCCTCTTCCTGCTAATTTGAAACAAATCTTGAGATTTAAAAGTTTGAGAAGATGGTACATTAATAAAAATAGCATGTTTCTGGACATTATCCATCTTCCTGTTTTTATTTCAAACACAATGTTTCTGAGATTTGATCCTGTATCCGTCTTTAGGTAAAACCTACTCAGCTGCCTCCATTAGATAGTGTTAGTTCCAGAGAGAAAGTAGATGTCAAGCAGAGCTGATACTTTTTCGGCTTATTTTTCGATCCTAAGGATAGAGGCCATATATTCCTCCGAAATGTCAGTTGAATTCAACTGACTACATAGCGTTATATAGTAATGTTCATAACCACAACAGTGGGTACTTCCAATCCAGTCAGAAATTTCGTTAGTTCCTCTTGCTTAGTTAGGTGGTTTGTTGTTTCGTCAGTTGCTGTATTTCCAGCCACGAGAAGCCGCACATGTAAATACCTGTCACTCCAGCACTGAGCTCCATAATTCCGTGTGGGAGACAAATGTTCGCTGGAATCATAATCAGCAGGTCACCTAATTGAGAGCACGTGGAACCAGCTGCATGCCGTTACATAACTCGACAGTCCTTCCCAGGGATTTCCTTGCGAATACTAGAAGCTTCCATCTATATCATTTGTGAACACTGGAGCCTCATGTTCGCTGGCATTACTCCAAGATAAATTATATCTGAGGGAAAAATTTGGACTTTGTAATCAGGGGTGAGGAAACCACTTCTTGTATGGAAGTAACTTTAGCCCATATAAAAGTTAAGTTTTATGAATAATATTGTGACGTGTATACCCATTGCTAAACAACGACCCGATAAACACATTCCCGCGGAAGTAAACGGGCGCAACAATAGGGCGTCCATTGCTAAGTAACGGGTCATTAAAAACTCCTGACGGGAAAAGTTCAGAAAACAAATGATATTAAGTATAATTGACTAGAGTCACGACAATAATGATGCTCCTCACTGTTCGAATACGACAATAAAAAATAAGTGCATGTCTTTTTCTAAAGATCACCAAATTAAGTACGTAATAAATTACATTACTCGCTCCATTAAATTGGAGTTTTGTTGTCTCCCAATTAATTTTGTTTCCAAAGCAGTGCTGTACGCATCGACACATAAACCGGAATGGAATAACCACCCCCAGGCTGGGACGAATGCAATATTTTGCCACAACCCAAATTAGAAGACGAAAGTTACGTCAGTTCTCTAAGGGTTTGTGAAATTGGCTGATTCGCTTACATGTAATAAAGCTGGATTTTGTTAATTGTTTTAAATATAAGGCTACACATGTAGACATTGTCATCCTATTAAGCAGACCTCGTAAAGTTTTATATTCTCTGTTGTGAATTTTTCTACTGTATCGACTTTAGTTAAGCTGTTTTTATTTACCATCTTGTCTTTTAACTGTACTAATAAATCACAATGCAAACAACATCATTAAAAATAATCTCATCGCCCTGTGTTTAATCATTGAACGCGATGAAGACGTGTGAGGCACCAACTTTTGGCTTTTGAAAATCGTACAGATTTCTAGTGCATTACATGATGTCAATGACTGCGCCATACCATTGCCTATCTTTGTCTCAATAAAGAAAACATGTATTTTTTCCTTGGCACTATAGCCCCAGTGGGCCTAGGCCTACCTCCATGAACTCCGTTCACTTCGGTTTTTCTAGATCTTAGACATACGGTAGGACTCCATGGGCAGGTGATCAGCTCGTCGCAAGGCCTCTACCTGTACATAAACACAGAAAAACGCACACAAACATCCATGCCCTGAGTGGGATTCGAACCCACGATCCCAGTTTCCAAGCGAGCGAAGACAGTAGATGCCTTAGACCGCTGGCTACCGTGACCGGCCAATAAAAACATATACCCTCCTTCAACTGTCGTTATGGAGAAATCAAATTGAGTGTTGAAATCATTCGGAGCCCCTGTGTCCCCTCTGCGGAACCTTTTAAATGTATTTATGCAACTAGAATTTACAGCAGAAATACAATTTTTTAGAAGTGTAGCAATACACATATAGAAGGACTAAATAAGGAATAATAAACTTAGGAACGTCATTTAATCTAAATAATAGAATTTGTATATCCAAATCTCATTGAAAATATTGTATTCTTGGAACATAAAGTAGATGATTACGAATAAAATATTAGCATAAAACCCAATTAGACGATGAAGCATAGAGCGCCTTCAGTTAAGATGGAGAACCACTGTGATCTTCAAGGGAACGGAACAGACCAATTATGACATTGTTTCCAGTATAAACTGAGTAAATCCTAAGCAACTTTCATACGAAACTTCTTCGTTATCATTTCTTACTGAAAACCGTCACAACACAACATCAATAACACTTGTAAGCAGCTCTATAAGATGCCTTTGCTACATGTTTCGGCTTCAGTAAGGCCATCATCAGTCAAATACATGAAACCTTTCGTTACTGAATTGAATGTTAAATATAAGTCAAATGTTAAACTTGCAATTATATAAAATGGTATGAAATTAAGTGAGTGAATACGTT